CGCAGAACGCCACTGGCTACACCAATTCGCCGGTCGATCTCTTCCTCCAACTTTTCATCACTAGTAAATACAGCTCCGAGGTACTTGAACTTCTCCACCTGCTTCACTGCCTCTCCGTTAATCTGAAGAGAGCAACGGGCAGGCAAGTTCTCTTTTCTAAAATATAAACCCACTACATACCAGTGATCAGGCAGATGTCTGACACGGACTGCTACATACTTTCGTCTAGTTAGCAATTTCAATATGTCTTTTGCTGTTGCTTGGTTCCTGCGGTACGCCATCAAAAAAGCCCGTCAAAATCGCTTGCTATCAAAATACTCCAAGTCAAAATAGCCGTCAAAATAGTTACATAAAAATAACCCACGTGAAAATAGGACAGACTAACAAAGAATTAACACTGAATTATTTTAAAACGTTCTTTGTGCCTCTAATGTGGTATGTATTACTAAATAACTTTCACTTCAGAAATATAACAAAAGTATTTGCTTCTTGATTAAAATTTAATGCAATTAGTGGATTACTTGTACTGCTTCGAGATACCGTGTTGCTTCGAGTGAAACATCTCCGGTGCAGGGCTGAATTGTCTGGCGAGGTTTTTCCAATCTTTCAACAGCACGTCTCTGCATCTCCGTTATTGACTTTGCAGGTTCATTCTGTGCGAAGTCGGTGGGATACTGTGTTCGGTGATAATCGTAAACTTTTCATCACATACCTTCAATCTTCCTTTACAGCTAAGTGTGACACTTCCACAATGCAGTACGATTAGAAATGACCCGCGCTCTTCGATAGCAAAACCTAACCTGTCTAGTAATAACAAGTCTTTTCCTAACTGAGATTCTACATTCTCCATAATTAGTGACTGAGTTGAAATTTTTATCGTAATGGACTATCTTGGTATCCGGAAAGTTCACTAACTGCAATTCACCGCGGAACGCTCACAGACAACAGTTCACCGATGAAAAATTGAAAGATTATGTTAATGAGCACAATAATTAGCAAAATACTATTTTCTATTTTGACTTGGGCTATTCTGATAGAAGGCTATTTTGATGAAGCTATCTTGAGTTGGGATATTATGAAAGGTCACCTGCTGGTGGATGTATCCTTCGGCTCTTATCACTGGCAAAAATAGTTATAAAATCCGCAGGTGCCTTTACATCCGAGCTTGCTGCCTCACCATGCCTCATGACGGAGTGAATGCCGGTCCTCTTTCTATAATTACCAAATATTCCCGACTGGCTTTGAATGACTCTTCCGATGCCTCGTCCGTTGATGAACCCGGCGACTGACGCACCAAATCACCGTAAATAACTCGCACCTTCTCACAGATGATGATTTGCGTCACGGTATCTCCTGCGAGCCGCTTCTCCGTCAACCAAACAAACAGCAACTTCTCCATCTCTTCATGGACAAAGGTCCGGGGATTTGAAATTACCTTAACGCCCCTGGCTGGCACTATAACCTTTGTCGACTCTGGTTTCAAAATCGTACATATGATAGAAGTACTGCGATCGTACAGCCTTGCCAACTCGA